TATCAGTGGGGGGGGGTATATTTACGACCTACGCTGAAGAGAAAATACAATATTATCTAATTTTTTGAGTATTTGAATTTTCATTGTTCGTCTTTTGCTTTTTGTGTTTTTTGTTGTTTTTTTTTTCTTTCATTTTACTAAATATTTTTCTTCTTTTCTTGTAGAACAATACAGAAATCTAATGGAGACAAAAGGCGTTAAACTTCCTTCTTTCTGCTTTTTTTTTATTTACCCGCTGATTTCTTAAACATATTCCTCTAAAAAAAAAACTGGGGGTAAAAATCTAAAAAACATATTGTTTTTCTCACTCCTCATCTGGTTTCTGTTTTGCTAAATGTTGATCACGAAAATCCATTAAAAACATGCGCCGACAAGAAGCAACCGGGCTTACGTTCAGAACAGATGTCGACGGGCGCGTAACTCGATCCAAAACTGTCCGTTCCCTCCTAAATATTCCAGCGAAATCGCCCAAACTTTCTTTTTTTATTTCGACACTCTACCAGACCGAAACAATGATTGGATTTAATTTCGTAACATTATATGCTTTTCTTTGTTGAAGATAAAGGAATCGAAATGCTTGTGAAAAGGTTCCATCGCTTTCCAGAAAGAATAATTGTTTTCACTTGATTCAATAATTGTAAATATTGTGTAATCGTTTGTGATCTAACGCTTTCGACCACACTTCTGGCTTTTATCAAGATCGGGAAAATATAGACGTTATTCTTTTTTTTTAACTTTTCAATACTTTTAAAGTCTTTATTATAGTGATTTTGTATTATGATGACGTCATACACGAGGCAACAGACAAACGAAATTATTCAATAGGCTAAATCTATCTATCTTTTATTTAAAAAAAAAAAGATAGCAACACTTTAAATCCCCATTGCCAAAATTAATTTTTCGGTTCCATGATTTTATATTAAAGACTTCAAATATCTTAAGCCTTTTTTTTATTAATATTGTATAGTATACGCGTAGCTTACTAATATTTTACGGATACTAGTGAATATGTCAGCATCTAGCAGTCTATGTTTACTAATATAAGCACGAATATGACTTTGACCACAAACAATGCAAGTTACCCTACAAATACTGTACTGTACTGTAAAGTACAAATGTGATGTTTTTGAATAACTTCTATTTTTTTCCTTGGTATTCCTAATGGCCTTAAGTATGAATGAAAGCGCTAGTTCTCTCATATTTTAGGCAGTAATTACATTCACTGAATACAGTCGTTAAAAAATTCTATTAACAGAGCACTTCAGCCTTATATGTTCGAGGAATGGCGATAAAATAATTAGGCTAAAACCTAGTTTTCACAGTATCCTTCTTAGTAGTTCTCTTGTTCGGCGTTCGCACACTTGCTTACAAAAGTTAATGGCAAAAATCTATATTACATACGGTTTGTTCATAGTTTTAAATTAGCAGAACTTTTGGATATACAGATATATATATATATATATATATATATATATATATATATATATATATATATATATATATAGACAGACATGCTCATTCAGCTATACTTACAAGCATAAATCTTGATCGTTGGTTATTTTTTTAATGTGCAATGATCATAATATAAACTCATAATGATTAATATAAATGGCTTATGAGATCAGCAGTAAATATAGAAGTATTGATATACACACGGGAAGGAAAGAAAAGGTTGATACACATTTGCAAAAGAATATATATATATATATATATATATTTTTTTTAAGCATTTCACCCCAAGCAAGGCGGGAAGCTACTAAGACGCAAGGGGTTACAGAAAATTTAGAGCAAGATCAGATAGCTGGAGATTATAGCTCACAGGGAAACAGGAGGGAAGGGAGTTCCACAGGCGAGAGGTGCGAGACATGAAACTATTAGAGTAGAAAAGACGGCTACATTTAGGAGTTTCGACAGTGAAGGGGTGAGAGCGGGATGCCAGCCTCGTAGGGCGCTGGAACTCATGACGCCTGGGAACCAGCGAATGCAGCTCCTCGGAGCAATTTCCATGAAAGTATTTGTAGAACAGACAGAGGGAGGCGACGTCGCGTCTGTGAGAAAGTGACTGTAGACGAGACGCCAGGGCAGGGCCAACAACATTGCATATCCGCCTCTGGAGCCTATCAAGAACCCTGAGGCAAACAGAAGGTGCCCCAGACCATATATGGCAGCAATACTCCATGCAAGGGCAAATTGTGGATTTGTAGATCTGGAGGATCGACTCCGGGGAGTAAAACTTCCTAGCGCGGCTCAGGGAGCCAACTTTCCTTGCAGTGGACGAGGCAATTGACTCGATGTATTTATTCCATCTCAGGCCAGCAGTCAACGTGAGACCGAGAGAGTTGCTCTCGAGAAGTTGAGCGTCAGACATTCTAATGGAGGGAAGGGAAGGCTCTCTGTGGTGATTAATAGAGAGCAGTTTTGTCTTAGAAGCGTTGAAGTTGACCAGCCAATTCATGCCCCAGTTCACAATCGATTGGAGGTCCTTTTCGAGACGCACGGCCAGGTGAGTTTTGTCAGCGAGACTAGATTTGTTTTTGAGGCAGGAATAAATTGTGGTGTCATCCGCGTAGATGCCAACTTGGGAATTTATGACGTCAGGAAGGTCATTTATGTAGATAAGGAATAGAGGGGGGCTAGGATGGTGCCTTGAGGAACACCTGCGTTCGTGGGATAGGAACTGGAGGTGAATCCGTTGAGAACGACCTTCAATTCACGGTTTGACAGGAATGATTGCATTAGGTTATATAATCGACCCGAAATGCCATAACCCTGGAGCTTGCGAAGAAGGCCGGCATGCCAAACCCTATCAAATGCTTTGGAGATGTCTAGTGCCACAGCTCGGGCTTCCCCGTTATTTTGGAGAGCTCGGTAGGCTGTTTCAGTGATGGCTGTAAGCACATCGGCTGTAGATCGGGCAAAGCGGAAACCATATTGCTTGTCTGAGAGCAGATTATGGGATGTGAGGTGGTTAACCACCCCGGTATTGATTAGAGCTTCGAAGACTTTGCCGAAGAGGGGAAGGAGACTGATAGGACGGTAGTTGGAAGGGTCAGAGGGTCGCCGGAGTTCTTGAAGACAGGAACGATCGAAGAGGACTTCCAGCAGTCAGGAAAACAAGATTCCTTGAGGCAGTAGTTATATAGTTTCGAAAGGGCGGGCGCCAGTTCAGGCGCGCATTTCTTCAAGACAATGGCTGGTATCCCGTCTCCACCACTAGCTTTGTTGGGATCTAAATTAGAGATAACGCCCAGTACCAAAGATGGGGTTATGTTTAACCCACTCAATATGGCCTCAGTTCTAAGAGGGAAGTCGTGTATGGGTACACCGGAAGAGTCGAGCGTCGAGTTGAATGAAAATTTCCGAGCAAAGCATTCAGCCTTGTCGGTAGAGGAGGTCAGAACTTCGAACTGGTTGAATAAAGGAGGTATAGAGGGTTTGCAATTGTTCAATACGCTCTTGCAGAGACGCCAATAATCTTTGGAGCCAAATTTGCGAGATGCAATACGTTCCTTCATTCGAGCCGCAAATAGTGACTTAGCATCATTGAGGACACGCTTACACTCATTACGGGCGGAGGCAAAGAGACATCTATTGCAGTCAGACATGTCGCTACAGTATAGGTGGAAGTAGTGGTTCCTATGGGCGATGGCGGCTAAGCAAGCAGCGGAGAACCAGGGGGAGGAGCGCGACTTGACCCTATATTTCCTTGATGGGATATATATATATATATATATATATATATATATATATATATATATATATATATATATATATAAAGAACAACAACAACAATAATAATAATAATATGCGAAAGTAAGAAAAAGGAAGATGAAAGAAACAGAAACTTTTCAAATGAGAAATTTGTTCAGTGATGGTGAACAGTTATTGTTCTTTCAGATAGATATGTTTTTACCTCGCTGTAGCCTAATGGTTAATGGTTAACAAGCCAATCTGGCATGCCATTAAGATTGTATATAAGTTCAGTTCACACTGGGATCTTCACATTTGTATCCTTGTATCAACCTAACCTAACCTTCCTACTCTAATTACTACTAGCCTTATTCCCGACTAAACTAAACTTAGTAATCATCCAGGTCGCTGGTAAGCAAATTAGCCTGACAGATATACTGTGTCTTCGATCTTTACCGAATGTATTTTATATGTTATCTTGTAATAACCTAAGAAAAGTATAGAGGGAGAGATAGACAGAGATGCAAAACACACTGAGATAGATAGATAGATAGATAGATAGATAGATAGATAGATAGATAGATAGATATGATTCGTCTGAGATAGAGAGAGAGGTATGAACACACTGTGATAGATAGATAGATAGATAGATAGATAGATAGATAGATAGATAGATAGATAGATAGATAGATATGATTCGTCTGAGATAGAGAGATAGGTACACTGAGATAGATAGATAGATAGATAGATATGATTCGTCTGAGATAGAGAGATAGGTACACTGTGATAGATAGATAGATAGATAGATAGATAGATAGATAGATAGATAGATAGATAGATAATGACCCGACTGAGATAGAGAGAGAGGTACGAACACACCGAACAAAAATAATGCATAACTGCACATCTATGTTTATTCGTGTCTATATATTTATATAGACCCTGTGTGTTTAATGTCTTTGTGAGCAACGAGATAGATAAATATTCGCTTTTACTCTCCAAATATATGTGTGTATGTCTGTATGTTACGCGCGTGTGTGTACTAGCGCATATAAAATTCTTACATATTTCCACATTGATGAATGTATGTAAATGTGTTTTATCTTAGTCTACAAGTGTGTGTGTGTATCTGTATATATGTGTGTAGACGCATATTCGAAATCTAGCAAAAAATTTGGCATCGTTCAAGAGGTGTATAGAGAAGGCGGGACCAGGCCGGCTAATTCTCTACAATAACAAAGCAACAATGGGAAATTTATTAGGCAATATGGCTGTTCACTTGCCTCTTTCTCTTTCCCTCTAAACATCCAATGACGACAGACGGACGAAGATGCGGAGCTGCCGATCAAAGGAAAAAAACAGTTACGGACGGCTTCAAAGCGAAGTCTGGTTGAATCAGCCGACTGCCTCAAAAGTCTGAAGAATTCCCTTTATCTATGATCACAAATATTTTCATCATTTCTTGACCCGTTCGTTTCTGAGATAATTGCCCTGGTAAACAGTGTTTCTCTTTCGCACCATTTTCCTATTTTTTTTTCAATGTATCCAAAATATCCCGTGATCCATTGCTGCAATTCCGAATTTCCAGTGATTTTTATAGTTTTGATATTTACGAGGTTACACTGAAAAGTTCATAGGCTGATTTTAAAGAAGTGATGCTAGAGCTGTGAAATCTTGCCTGCATTAATTTCAACCCTGACATCTGACTGTTCAAGGAAGACTTCAAAAGTAACTAGTAGGGACTTCACTTGAAAATGGACGAAATTTGGCATCATGTTGCTATGAAGTACCTGTAGAAAAGGGTTTAGCCCTCAAGGATATTCATGCTGACATGATTACTACATTAGAGGATGACGCTTCAGTTTTATCAACAGGGCAAAAGTGCGCAACTGAATTTAGGAGGGGAAAAGAGAGTCTTGAAGATGACCCAATATCGTACAACTGCCACCTCCGAGGAAAACATTGATTGTGGTCCCCCCATGTTGATGGGTGAAAGACGATTGACTATAAATCAAATAGCCAATCCTATTAGAATATCCCATGAGAGAGTTGAGAATGTTGTCGGTATGACGAAAGATTCGGCTCGATGGGCGCCACGTATTCTGACATTTCCGCGCCAAGCTGATCTCATCACGGGAAATTTTGACATTGTTTGATGCAGATCCAGATGGTTTCTTTTGACGTTTCCTAACCCAGGATGCATGTTGGGTTCATCACTGTGATCCAGAGACAGACAGACAATCCAAATACCCCTTCTCACTTGCTCCAAAGAAATAGGTCATTTCATCTGCAGGAAAGGTGATACCCTCAGATTTTGGGGATGCAAAAGACATTGTGTTTATCGATTATCTTCAAAAGGACCACACCATCAATTGCATTTATTTGCAGGTTATCTAAAGCTAGAAAATATTTTTAGATTATGAGAATTTGGGGAGCATAATAACGATTTTCTGATACAAGCCCTACTATTTAACCCTTAGATGGGGGAGGAGAAGATGTAGATACATAACTTTTCCAAGGATATTTTCGCCTGAGTGAATATAACGAACCGGACTGGAATTGGAATTTGGCTCTTTGATTTTCCAATTCCGATTCGTTATCCATCAAACCACCTGTACATCCAAGCTTACAGAATCTGGTATTTTCAAGCGGTCATCAGGCTAGGTATTGACCAGGCTCGACGTTGCTTAACTTTGGTGATCGTACGAGAATCGGTATTTCAACGTGATATGGCAGTAAGCCATTGTTTTTGGTAGGACAATTAAGGAAAACACACTTAATTTTTCTCTTTCATTCACTCTTTCTTTCTCTTCCTCTATCTCTCACTCTCTCTCTCTCTCTTTCTCTCTATCTCACTTTTTCTCTATCTCTCGGTTTCGCACTCTTTTTCTCGCTTTCTTTATACCTCTATGTTTCGCTCTATCTCTCTATGTCATGGTTTCGCCCTCTGTTTCTATCTCTCTCTTTCTATCTCTCGGCTTCACCCTCTCTCTCTCCCCCTCTCTCTCTATCTATCTATCTATCTCTCTCTCTCTATATATATATATATATATATATCGGTTTCACTCTCTCATTCTCTCACTTTCTCATTCTCTTTCTCTATATATATCTATCTCTCGGTTTCACACTCCCTATCTCTCATTCTCGGTTTCACTCAACCACTCTCGTTTTCACTCTCTCTCTCTCTCTCTCTCTCTCTCTCTCTCTCTCTCTCTGTTGTGGTAGGATCCACCTAATTTGCATGGTGGAGTACCGACCATATAAATATAGTTGGTACCGGGAAGAGAGAGGAAGGAATCAAGAGATTCAATCCAGAGATTCTGCCCGACTGCGACTAAGTCAACACATTCTCCAGGAACGGTCTTCCCAGGAATATACAAAAGACTATATGTAAATATTGTGTACACTTTCTTGTTTCAATACATTTTGTTCTAAGTACATTTTGTGTTGCATTATTATTCCATGCATTAGTCAAGTTTCAACACTCTTTGTCTGTCTGTCTGTCTGTCTGTCTCTCTCTCTCTCTCTCTCTCTCTAAACATATATATATATATATATATATATATATATATATATATATATACTAGCGCACAGAGGGTACAGATAGAGAAAGAGTAAAAAGGAGTGTTTGAGGAGAGGATATCAGGATCATGGCATTAGAAGATGTCAACTGACATTACATTTGAATATTTGAAGATTATAGCAAGTAGGAAGGGAGTTCCACTGCCGGGATGTGCGAGAGAAGAAACTGTTGGAGTTGAAGAGGCGTTTACATTTAATTGTATCGGCAGTGAAACAAATGGATTTATTATGACTTTCACTGCTGAAATGATATTCTTATGTCATTATTGCCTGACTGCGCGAATTAATATTTACTGGAAATAAATAGCGATAGACATATATATAATTTGCAGAATAGAATGACTAAGATAAACGACACACAATGCGATAAAAATACATCACGAAACATCTATTGTTACTATATCTATGCAAGTTAGTTTATAACACAAACGTCAGGGACTGACATTTCATGGTATCTTGAAAAATGTATATATACGTCAACAGCAGGCAATGTAAATGTTTCGTAAAACGTATAAGTATGTCCACAGCAGCAGAAATCTTAATAGAAAAGAAAAATACCGCGTCCCAAAAGAAAATACAGCTACCAAAGAAGATATCACTCCCAAGATGATATCGCCCCCGAAAAAAAAAGAAGGGATAAAATAGGCGATATAATAACTGTATAAAAGATACTCTTTTTATCATCATTTCACCCTAAGTAAGGCAATAAACCTACTAAGACGTAGGGGAGTATTGAGTGTTACAGAACATGTTATAATGAGCTTCGTATTGCTTATAATATAAGTGATGCTTCGGCAACTTGCTGTGTGGCCTGTATAACTTAATCTGAAGACTGTCCCCAATCGGGTTCTTCTTCTTCTTTCCGCTAACCTGGAGCGCTTTATTTATAGTTATGGACTAATTCATATAGCCACCGGGGGTACACTATTTACTCCAAAACATCCCTCCTCTTGAGATTAATACTTTTAATATTTTTATTATTATTATTATTATGAGTATTTCCCCCTCTTCTTTCTAGAGAGTTCATCAACATACATGAATATGCAGCGTCTCCGACTCATTTCCTCTTCCAGTTCTCCAATACGCTTTCTTTTTCTGGAAGTTGTCATTGCTGTGGTGCTGGCACATCGAAAACATCATATTGCATTTTTATCGGTTGTTTCAATGTTTCGGGTCTTTCATCGATTAACCTTTTTTTCAGTTGATTATGGTACCTTTTATCAAATCTTTTCCCTTTTACCATGTAAATTAACTTCCTTACTCTTGCTGATATTCTGCCGTCTTCCCACATTTCTTTGCGATCCATATATGGTCTAAGGTACACTTTTAGTGTCGTCTTTGTTATTCGTTCGTGTTTTTCGACTTGGTAATAACTTGTCGAAAATTAATCCGTTGAATATCTGGAGTTATTACCTTTATTCTAAAATTTTCTCAATTTTTGTTGACGATACCAGCATACGTGACAAAATCTATGTCCTCTGTTTTGGTTAGATTCATGCACCTCCAACGAGCATTAAGAAGAGAGCTCTTGCCGCTAAAGATTTTCGTCAGAATGTGTACCGTGTCTTCAAACCCGATTTCTCCTTTTTTTCTGTAATATGAAGTATTTTTCATACTATATCGGAGCTGTTTTCCTCAACAACGCTACATTCCTGACTGAATATTTGTTCATATCAACGAAACTACGCAGAAAAGGGCAGTCATTCATCAGGATTGTATACAAAATCTGATATGGTGTTTTGGACAGTGTCTTGCATAATAGACGTTGAATTTTCTTTGTTTTCTTCAGAATTATATCCAACAACTCCTGTTGCTGCTTTTGTAGTTGTAGCAACTGTTGATTATGTTGTTGTTGCTGTTTCTGTTGTTGAATTTCATCTATCGAAGACAAACTTTACTCCATATTCGCAAGAACATGTTTTTTCCTATACCAAGAGAATTTCTTTTACTCCTACACAAGAAGAAAAAAAAAATTAAACCAATGTGGATAAAAATTAATGTCGCCATCCGTACCCTTGTTCCCGAAGCAACAGGTATATTTTTCTGTACTTGTTCATTCAGTATAAGTTTCCAAGATCCTTGTAACTCCAGTTACAACTCGCAAGTGTTCCTGAATCCTTGTCACAACGGTTATAAATCGCCTGAGTTTCGAATCCCTCGTCGCCACTGTTATAACGCGCTTCGTATCGATTATAATATAAGTAATGCTTCGGCAACTCGCCGTGACGCCCATATCTGAAATTATCATTATTATTACTATTATTATTATTATTATTATTCTCTTCCTAATCTCTGATCTAGAGCTCTTTATTTATAGTTATGGACTACTTTATATAATCACCGGGGATGTACTATTTACTCCATAACAGAATATGAGAAAAGAAAATATTATTAAGAAGAAAGAACAATGAAAGAACAGGAATTAGGCAAACAGAAGATAACAACCGATATTGCATTTAAATATTTCAAAATCAAAATTGACTGGAAAGCAAAAAGCTGGATGAAAATTCCACAAGCGAGACATGCGAGAGAAGAAACTGTTAGCATAGAACTTGCAGTTTCATCTTACGATTTCAACTCTTAAATGATGAGAACTTGCCACCAATCTAGATGTACACTTAAATTCATAAAATCTTGGTAAGAAACAGGAAAGTGACTGAAGCTGAGATGCCAATTCAGGACCAATAATATTGCAGATTCTTCTTTGGATATTAGTACATAGCAGATGCAACAAACCAGATGTAACTGCAATATTAATATATGGATGAATGGCAAATTTATAATTGGGTAAAATAGATTCTGGCGAGATAATTTGTCTAGCATAACACAATCAACCACCTTACCTAACAGCATACCTAGAAGTTGATTCAATTTTGTTTCCACTTCATCTCACTGGAAGATTTTAGTGCGATAAGGCGCAACTAGTAACTCTCTTCGAGGTTGGCATCAGCCATGCATACAACTCAATTAAATATATGTAGACAAGACACAACAATAAATGCCTACAATAGACAATACAATTAATACAAAAGAAAAATACGCTAACCAAACTATAAAAATATAGACAATACAATATAATAGCTGTCTATATTTCTGAGATGAGGTATTATGTACATTATTTACATTATTCGGACTATTGTCCTCATCTTTGTCTCCATATTTATTACAACGTTGTACGATCCGGCCTTCTTCAAGTGGTTGGAATGCCGAACTGAATTCTTTATTTCGCTCACTGGGATAGACTGTTCTAGTTCCACGTGCCATGTTTAATAGATGTCAGTTATCAGTTATCTCCTGCTAATTTTCCCTCTGAAAGTTCTCCACTGCCTTAACCGGGTATTGAACTCACACTCTTTGGATCCTGTCACTGGATCTAACCAACGCCTTTATCCACTGTGCCATGTATCCTCAAGGCAAATGAGCGAAATAAAGGACATTCGACATTTCAACCACCTGAAGAAGGCCGGAGCGTACAACAGCCGAAACGTTGTAATAAATATGGCGACAAAGATGAGGACAATAGTCCGAATAATGTAAATAATGTACAATATAACAGATTTGTTTGAAAAAAAAAACTTCCTGTCATAGACACGAGAAAAATCATTTTCTAATAATTTTCTAAATCTTCAAATATTCATTTTACTGGTAACGTGTATATGGATTCAATATAAAGAGAAACAGATTTCAAAAAAATATGTATAGCGTAAGATTGTTTTTCGCAATAGCGCCAACATCCCAGTATGAAATCGTCTGCATTACCAGCAAAATAAACCAAAATGGTTGACTGCACTATTTATTCACTGTTGTGTGTGCATGGGTATATATATATATATGTGTGTGTGTGTGTGTGTGTGTGTGTGTGTGTGTGTGTGTGTGTGTGTGTGTGATCGTAAAGCTTCTATTCATGAACATCAAATATTGTTTAATCAGCTTCTAAAATTAACCGGCTGCAAAACTTCTGGCACACACTCAAAATCTGGAGGCATTCACAGATGGCGGGCCTCTCCGTCAGATTCGTCAACTGTCGGGGTCCCGCTTTCGGCACCGGCGTATTTCGTGAAATTTCGCCTGACGAGCAGTCTTCATATCATTCTAGACCATTCGAAGAATTTGGCTGCGCATCATTTTGGCAACATTGTAAAAAAAAAGATTGAAGAAACATTTCTTTTTGTGTTGAACACCTGCTAAACATCTGGTCACAATTCATTTTGGTATTGGGAATAAATTTATTTTAAAGCTCGGAGACAACAAACATTTGATGGAAGTGCACTGGTGACAAACATCTGGGGGCAATTCCTTGCAATGAATTTATGTATATTCAAACGTCATGTGTTTCGGGTATTTTCTCATAAGCGGGCTTAGCAACGGCGTAAACTTGACAATATCTATATTTCATTTATATTTTCATTCGTTGGTTCGTCTTTGAATTACTAATTTGACTAGATAGAAGTTCATAACGGTGAAATACGTCATTAGTTTCTGAACACACTAATATAATGATTACATCTCGTCAAATCAATTAAAACAAAACACGTCATGAATCACGAATGAAGACAAATAGAAAAAAGATTCAAAATTACCAAAATCAATTGACACACTAGGAAGGCCGGAATATAAATGGTGTTCAAAAGTCTATGTCACAT